GAAGACAACACTGATTGTCTCAAACAGATGTGGAGATTCAAATACATTAAAGATGGAAGTAAAATAACGGGTCAAAGTTATGATTTTTTTTTTTAACTTCATAAATAAAGTGATATTAAACAGTGTTGGCACCAGGAACAACTCCACGACTGCTGGATTAGGACTTAATTAGATGCACATACATAAAATTAAATGTAAAATTAGCATTTATAAAAACACAACAGACAACAACGACTCGCCTGGACTGTTGACCACCCGCTCAGACATTTCTTTAACATTTGTTCAACACAATGCTGCTCTTTAGAAACGTTTAGCTACATATTATAAACAATATATAAGTTCAACAGAATAATGTTTCTACCTTCTCATTATTGGTGAATTATGAATCATTTAAAAACCCAAGTTTCAGTTTTTAGTTTTCGGTTCAATTACCCCTACCACCCAAACACCTGGGCTCAAGAGAGAGTGTGGGATCATGGAGGTGTAAAGACGACTGTATGTCTACAGACTATTGTGTGTGTGCTATTCCAAAAAAAACCCAAAACAATCAAAGATTTTCAATAGTGACCATTGACCACAGTCTGTGGCCTCAGGGAGTGTCTGACTGTCCTCAGAGTCCTTCACTGATAATTAATCCATCTCTTGATTTAACACAGTTGCAATAGTAATAATAATAAGAAAAAGTTTATTGATGGAAAATATTTGTTATCAACAGATCTGAAAAAGTTTATTAATGGAAAATATTTGTTATCAACAGATCTCTGTTATAAAAAGCTGCCCCTCGGAGGCACCAAATATGTGGTTACTCTGGGATTCAAACCCAGGACTCTCTGCTCTCTGCTTGTGAGGCAGGAGGGCCAATCCCTACACTATGGAACCGTGAAGTACAGCACATTTTAGATGAAGCAGGACACTGATACAGTAAGACCACTGATCTTAACTGCTTCTGAAAGATGCTGAAGTATTTTTTGGGTGGACTTCACCGATGACCTTCAGTGCTAATGAAGCAGAGTGCTGATTGCAGCTACAGCGAATCAAAAACACCTTCCTGTCCCTGATGTGAATGCTAACGTTAACCATGGAAATCTGCTTCCTCTACCTTCACTTTTCACCGCAGCGGTTGCAAAATATGAATTAACAGTAGAGCATAGATAGGGGATTAAACTGTGTATATTTATGTACACTGTATATGTGCATACATGTATGTGTATATGTGTGATGAATAGCTGCTCTTGTTGCTATGGGTTCAAAACCCATTAACAGAGCTGGTCCCTAGAAAAGGTTATAGTACCACCTGGTACTGTATCAGGTTCCAGAGAAAACCTTTGATTAACAACGAGAACTGTCCGATTTTTACAGACTGATACAAGTGCGAGTATTTCTATTTCTTTACATTTACAGTTTTGTTTCAAGTGAAGAACACTAGGCTCTGATCTGTAACACCTTCAGCATGGAGATGGATGTGATTAATACCGACAGTTCAAGAAAATTTAACTTGCAAAACACTTCTGCAGGTTCACAGACATCAGCCCTGAAAAGTTAGTCGGCCCTTGGAAACAAACTCCGAAAAGAACTTTCAAAAGCAAGGACAAATATTGTCAAGAGAGCGACCGAGCTAATAAGTGTCAGAGAAGATAACGGAGAGAGAGTGAATTCACGTCTGTGGACAAGCAACAAATCTCCATGGTAGAGAACAACAGACACTGACAGACCTTTTTTTGTTGGTCCAGCCTTGATATTGTAGAGAACTGCTTACAGCAGCTGTTCAGACCAACACACTGTAGAAATCCTGCTCTTTTACAGGGAAGCCTTTTCTGGTAAACTACAGTCTGTCTTGGTTTGATGGACACTTAGGAGTATAATGAGCAACATTTTTAGTGGTGCTAAACTTTAACTTTCATTATATATTAAAAATCAATGAAAAAAAAACATTTCACAGCCAAGTTTTTAAAACTTTTAGTTTGAGGTGTTTTAAGAATATGCAAAGCACGCTAAAGCGGAACAAAAATGAATGGATGATCTTTGTATGGTGTTGATGCATCATTGGTTTTCAGTAACAAAAACAGCCTTTCACAGAGTGCTGCCCCCCCTTATTCTAAAGCAAGTCCAGGTTCTTCGTGGCTTTGTGACTGCAGCAGCAGGACGCTGGCTCGCAGAAACTACTTTGTGTTGCTGTCGCACCTCACGACTCCAAGGGCAGGTATTTCTTAAACTGCGTTCAGTGTCAAAAGGCTGAGTCACAAGTTTGAGGCACTGCAGTTTGGAGCAACACTTATTTGGACGCAGTCTACAGAAGAGTCCTACTGTTACTGCTGCAGCCAAGAACAATCACTGCAGCCTCAATGCCGAAGCAGTGTGAACATTCATGGTTTTTACGACCGGTACTTGCTAGGTGCAACTACAGTACGACAATGTGTTCCATGCAGGCGTCTGAGCAAATGTTAACAAGCAGCAGGGGACACTTGGTGAAACCACAACTGCCAACAGGAACTCAAAGAAAAACATATTATCTTCATTCACAGAAGTGTAAATTATACCAAAAGTCACTTTTTTCTGCCTGTCTTGAAGAAGAATCACACTTATCATCATTGTACATACATATGATGTGCCCACAATGAAAGTAAAGTCCTCTGCATTAAACCCATGACTTGGGAATTGGAGCGAAATCTAACTGGGCCCTCTGATGACAAACCCCATCATCTTACCAGGCCACGACTGCCCCACGTCAGACTCAGTGAAACCATTGTGTCTAACAGGGCTGTGTATTGTTAAGAATATGGCGATACATTAAGTATCATGATACAACAACAATGCAATATATTGCAATAAACTGGAATATAATATGAACTATGATATATTGAGGGTTACAACTTAATCGTAGTGAAACTGTCATCATAAATAAAAACACAATGCTGTTCCATCTTAACATCAGGTTACTAAAACTGGAACACAGGGATTTACATTTGGAAACACTGCAGAAGAAATAAAATGAACCAACGTGATGAATATTTAACTGGTAATTGGTAATAAAGAAATCGATAACGTACTGTAGAACATCAATACAGTATTGTGAAAAGACTTTTTGTGATATTCCATATTACCAGATAATTTGTGTGAATTTATAAGACAAACAGGTTGTGTTTTGGTCTTGAACAAAATCAGTTTGTTTACTTCAAAAATGTTTGTCTCAAGATATTAAGGGGAAATAAATGAGACAGAAAAACAGGAACAGGCATATGTATTTATATATATTTCTGTCATTTGTCAATGGTCCAGGACAATGAAAACTAATCGGATAAATTACCACTGCACTAAGAAGTGGATCCTTTATTACATCTAAATCTACATCTTCATTTAAATAAATATAAACAGGGTAAATAAACACTTGGAACTCTCTGATGTTATGTTTTACATCCTTTAACCATCCTTTTTTATGGACACTTAAATTGCAGAAAACACATTTCACAGTGTGTAAATGTCCATATGTATATACAGTGACAAGTAAAGCCATCAGGAGGCAAAGGAGGAGGAGGAGGTGCAAAAAAAAAAATAGGGGAGGAAAAACCATTTCAGCATTTAAATGTTTATATTTTGATATGTAGTAAAGCAGAAGCACAGACACATCTAAGAAAATACATCTCTTCATTTCAGCTCACTGCAGCTCACCCTGCCCTGCACACCTCACTGGCAACCCTCAGACCCTGGTAGTATTCTTCTCATGCATACATGCGAGCACACATATAATGCCCACGCACACATGTGCAAGTGCACACAGCACACGGAGCAGCATCTTAAAAAGGAAAATTCATTTAATTAAAGTAAGAGCTCGGGGGTTGTCAGAGGCTGCATTACTATTATTGGAGAGCACGTTTTTGACAAATGTCTTTGTGACACATGGAACAGCATCGTCAGACTGCAGCAGCAGCAGCAGCACCACCACTAGCAGGAGCAGTGAGAGGTGGAGAGACCAGACTGAACCACCACTCCAACTCTAACCCACCATAATCTCACAATATTCTGTTATTTGTAACACTACTTTAATTATTTAAAATTCCATCAAGAAAAAAGCTGAAATATGATCTTAAGCAAACCAACCGTATTTTTCTAGGAAGCCAAAGTAATATCACATTTAGGGAAGCCAAAATCAAATAAACTCAGTTTACATAAACCAACTAGGTCCAGAAGGGGTTTGTTTTATTACTGTATAATCAAATAAACATGGCAGGTGAACCGATGGGCCACAGCATGAGTTATGAACTGACAACTTCCTTCCACAATCCAAAACCCTGCAGGTGCCTGCATTGTTGCTCTGATTTAATCAGGAATGAATTGAGTATGAATTGTTGTTGCCCTGTGATGGACTGTTGCTCTGGGTTGAGCTCGACATCGGTATCTTCAAATTAACCTCGTGCTAATCAATACATCAGAAGTAAATAACACATTGTTTTTGACTGTCAGAGAAAACTCACAAGTCGTTTACGTGAAACGCACTGTATTTGAAATTGTACTGCTCAATATCGCCATCTGGTGCTCATAAACTGTCCCTATCATGTGAACATGTGCCGTGATTAATCCGACCTCTTCCGTTACCGTTCAACCTTTTAGTAGAAAATCATAGGAATGCCATTAAAGACTGACACGAGTAACAAAAACATACAAACAAACAACTAAAGATAACGTGTTAAATTGACTCCGTGGAGGTTAAAGTCATTTCAATATTTTGAATCACAAGAGAACTTTTTGTGGTATTTAGGTTTTTTGTATTTAAGAAATTAAAGCGAGTTGTTGTTACACGTTACAACATTTGGAGTGAAACTCGCTTACTTCAATGTAGATGTTTAAATACATTTTAGAGCATATTGTTTGTACAGGGACAAATATAAACCGACTTACACAGAAATATACATTTAAAGCAGTTTTCAAAAAACAAAAACAAAAACAGTGTTTACATCAGCAACACAGCCTGGACTTGTATGTGTGTATGAGGTGAAAAGACTCACCTGCCCGTGGACACGTCCGGAACTCGAAGTTGCTCGGTTTGACCGAGAGACCGAAGCGGCGGCTGGAGCAGCAGCTCTCAGCGGTGACAACCAGGAGCAGAGCAGGGGCAGGAGGATACAGCAGGAGCAGAGCAGGAGCGGAGCAGGGGCAGAGCAGGAGCAGGAGCAGGTGAGAAGGAGCAGCGGTCCACTACTCTCATCATTTACACTGTCGCCGCCAACTTCAGCAATGCGTGATGCCTTCACTGACGCAGCAGCAGCAGCAGAAGCTGCACATCCAGGACCAGCAGCAACGAGGACCCCTCGTCCACCCCCCTTCCCCCTCCCTCTTCCACACATCCCTCGTCCCCACCACAAACACACACACACACACACTAACCAGCTACCGTTATCTCTCTCTTCCGGTTTCCCTGCATTTCCTTTCCCCTCTCACTCAATGTCTCCGTGAATTTTATTTAACATATTCAATTATTAAGTTAAATACATTTTAAACATTGAATAAATTATTTTATATTTACTGACTGTTAAATATCTGTGATAAACACTTCCACATCAGTCTAACGCTTCATTTCTTTAACTTACTCTTGATGAACAAACCGTCTAAATATTTTTATTTTTGGTTTACACATTTCAACCTTTCTCTGTATATCGCCTTTATTTGGATTGATTTAGTATATTTGCTTTCTTACTTTTTAATGCTATTTCGTTGTTGTTATTTCAGTAAACAGCAAGGTTAATCCATCCATTATCTACTTATTTACTCTCTGTATTTACTTGACTTTGGTGTAAAATAATCCTATTTTGTCCTTCTCTCCAACCATGACACTGACATATCAACCTTCAAATGTTATTTTCGGGACGTAACCCCTCACCACCAGAAAATAAATAAATATAATATAGTAGCAACTTACCACCTAACACAAGGCTCAGTACTGGGTATTGAAAATTACACTTTTTCAACATGTTTTAACATTCTTTTTACCTGACTTAGCCAATCTTAATTCACCTTCCACAGACAACGGCTCACTTCGACGTCATCGTTCTCGTGTTTTAACAACTGTCCCGTTTGTCGTAGCACTCTTCGACAAACTTGTATCAAACTACACATTAAGTGTTAAAATATCGGACTAGCCAGAATTACCGTACCGTACCCAGTTTTAACTGCTCCTTTGCACAGAACCACCTGCTCCTGTCCAGAACGTCATTTTAAATTACGATATGAGTTGCCGTGCGATTCTTTATGCTTTGATTGGATGTAAAGAAGCACGTGACCCAATGCCGGGAAAATCCGCGCAGTACGTGACCACGTATGTTGGATCTTAACCTGTTGAACTAATGAATTAGCCTAGCAATTTAATGAAGGATTGCAGTTACGAAGATTATAGGATGCGCGGTATTCTTTATCGTACAAAGAATAGTATATAATCGAATATCGTAGATCTATGTAACAAGCTTTTATTTTGTAATACTCTTCTGACACTCTGCACTGGCAATATTGAGCAACACTGCCATCTAGTGTACATTTGTGATATGGACAAAACTTCCCGAACCCTAAAGCAGGGCTATTCAATAATACATTTATTTGGGCCCGATTTTCAAACAATGTATCGTTCGACTATTTAGAGTTCTTTTGGTTTGTTTCTGAGCAATAATTAATCTGAATTATTTAACATGAAAGTTAAATATTTTTAAAGTAGAAAATTACAACTAAATATGTGAATTTCATATAAAAAGTTTAGTCTTTCTTTACATGGAATGACTTGTTTAAAAAGACAGTTTCACTTCCAGAGTGGCAAATCTGAGTTAGTACATGTTGGTTTTTCTTACATATAGAGGAAAATGTTAACACTTAGAAACTTCCTCTTCTTGATTGGCAGTTTAAACTGAACATTATATGATTGTAAGATTAAGATTTTCTTTTGTCCCGGTTTTTTTTCTTACACAAATACAGAAGTTTTTAAAAATCTCATTTTAATATCTTAGATCTTAATATTGTCATTTTAATATCTCAGTCATTTTAATATCTTAGATCTTAATATTATTGTTTCAACAATGACAAATGACAGACAAACATTGTTAGTGTGTAAACAAAAAGCACCAACAATGTGTGAATCATTTCCTGTGTGGGTAACGTTACTGCTCAGATGGAGATGTGAAAGTGTGAAACAAGAAGAACAGCCCTGTGAACTGTACCAGGTCACTTTGGAGCCAGACTCTGAGACCATGATGTGGACTCTGTTCACTGTTCTACTCTTTGTTTCTGATGTTCAAACTGGTGGTGAGTTTTTCATTGTGTGTGTGTGTGTGTTTTGGTGTCCAGTGCAGTAAAATACTCTTTTTAATCTTTCAGGACGAAAAACGTCAAACAAGAAAAGTAAGTGTGACGATAAAAGCTTCAATTAATGTCTGCTGTTTCATAACTGACGGTCCTCTTCTTCAATACAGACTTATGTCATAATGTCCTCAGTGACTGCTACCAAAATGTCAAGGAGCATCAGAATGACGACTGGACCAGGCAAGTCTTTTGTAAAAAAAACTTTTTCAACATCAAGTCAAGAACCAAAAACCATGTTTAAGGCACAGAGGCTCCATCTTTACATTAGTTTACTCAGGGTTGAGAACAACTTCTCACCACAGCTACTGTTAGTCACAAAAAACATTTGTTTTAATTTCTTCCATCAGCTAAATATATAACTTGAAACTTGAAACTTTTTTTTTAAATTTTATGTTGTGTGTTGGCAGGTGTTACGAAAATCACATCTCTACCTGTATACAAAGTCGTTATCGGATGACAAACTTCATTCAGCGGATGGTGAACACGTCTGAAGAGGTGAGGCTGTGTGTACTGAACTCTACTGAATACTCCTAGATGTGTGTGTGTTTGTACTTGTAACTTTTTTTTACCTGACTTGTGTGGTCTTCTGACTGCAGGTCACAGAGAGTCCCAGTGAATTTCACAGGGTTCATGTACCGTCGCTGGCTCTGCAGATGTCCACCAGAGGGCGCTCTGAGGATGAAGTGGTGCTTGTCACCACATTGATCAACAGCACATTTTTCACAGTCAGTGGACATAAGGCTATAAATTACTGCGTGTTTGACAGACGTTTTTACTTTAACTGTGTTTTAATTTAATTTACAATAAAAAATATAATGTATACTATTATCCTAGTACACAAGTACCTCACCTGCAGTATTACAGTATACAGGAGTGTAGAAGCTAGATTAGCACTTGTTAGCCTAATGCAGAGGAGTAGCGACAGTGTTGTTGTTGGTGTAAAAAACGATTATTGACTGTTTGTTTGTTTGTTTGTTTTTGCCACCTGCTCTCATTTCTACTGCAGACTCAGAGGAAAGGAAGGAGGACTATGCCGACACCTGACCAGGGCAGTCCTCTGGGGGGGTTGGTCCTGGTGGTGAAGGTGGGGAACCGTCCAGTCAAGAACCTGACGCAGCCAGTCACTTTGACCTTCAGACACAACACACAGGTTCATGTGGTGAAGCAACATTAACAGCGGTGGTGGTGGACACGCAGACATGTTACATGACCTCTAACCACAGTTGGTGTTTCAATTGTTCCAGGTGAAAGATGGAGTTTGCGTATACTGGGAGGTGACAGAGAACAGACCAGGTGAGCTACAGCAGTGCCCCCTCNCAACTGTTTGATCAGGGTACTGGAGCAGGGAGGGCTGTGAAACCAGGGACAACGGAGACAAGTTTGTCTGCAGCTGCGACCACCTCAGTTTCTTTGCGGTGCTTGTGGTAGGATAAAAAACGTTAATGTTTTTATAACTGTTTTAAGTCAACGATCAATATGGTTACATTAGCATCTCAGGGGTTCATGAAAATATGTATTTTCTTCAAGTAAGTGAACAAGACTTGTAGATATGCTAGTATGTGCGTATATATATGTGTACATATATATTTATATACACTATACGCTATAATACATTCAGACCATGCTTGCTAATACATGTATATACTGTACATATATACATAGGTATATATAGATATATATGTAGGTAATATACGTGTATATATGTATATATCATGTGATACTATGTATAATAATCATACTGAAACATTATGGTGTATTATACGCTTCACTTTACACATATTCTTTTGCTTACATATATGGATTAATAGAAGAAGAAGAAAGTGAACTACTTGTCGTTGTGACACAGCACACCACTGCTGTTCTGTCAGTAAACACAATAAAATCTATTTTTTCTCTCCAGAACCCTTCTTTGACAGTGGATTCTGCTAATGCTAGGAATCTCAGCTACATCACCTACATTGGATCATCGCTGAGCGTCGTCTTCACGGTCATCAGTTTGATCATCTACCTGTGTCTACAGTGAGTTTTTCACTCTGTTCATAGACATATCAGGAATCCTCTGGAAGGACACAGAAGTATGAAGTGACATCTGTGGATCAGCTGTTGTTGATGAAGTACAGGAAGCAACAGGAACTCACGCTAAGTCATGCTAACGACGATGTGAAAAAAAGTTGTCAAAATATGGTAAAGTAGATTATAAAAAAGATTACAATAAAAAAATTAGATCATACCTTAAACAGAGGACAATTTAAAAGCCAGATGTTATTTGTAAAATAGGAGCACATGTAGATCTTATGAAGCACCCTAACAATGCTACGGTAACGGTAAGGAGAGCTGGGAGCTAACTGCATCCCTAAAATAATTTAGTATGAAATGTTAAATACAATATATACACGTGTTATATAATATAATATGTGTAAATTAGTGTGTGTGTGTGAGTCGAGGGGTGAGTCAGACCTGGATGCTTGTTTTCCTTTTCAGATCTGGCAGCTCTGACATAGATCCTGACAAAAAATCAAAACAGAGACAAGAAGAAGAAAAACAGTTTTAGTTGATTTGTCACATTTTCATTTTATAGTAACATTTACGGAGACTATCAGTAAAATACAAAGGTCGAATCAGTAAAAATGCTTAAATTAAGAAACAATAAATACAATGAAAATGTCATGGGGTTCGTGACAGCTGAATATTTATTATTTCCGTCCCCATTTGTCATCAGACTTTCTATTCCTCTAAGTTGCATGATTCACAGAAAATTGAACCAACCAGTGAAACCCCCCCCGTTAGTTTCATTTCCTCTCTCTCTGTCGTCATTCACATGTAGACTGAACACCTTCCTAAAAATGACGTTGGTATTTGAAGGATGACCTGATGACATAATTAAACTGGATGAAATATATATACAGTATATGTAAATGTAAATGTACGCACATATATACATATATGTACATATATTGATATATGTACATATATACTGTATACTATATACAGACATACTTTACATATACAGTATATTCATTTACCCCATCATTTATATGAAAACACTTGTGATCAGAGTTACATTTATTATTTAAAATGATTTTCTGACATTGTGACTTGTAGAGGAAATGGAGTTTCCCAACCTTTTTCTGCAGCGCCCCCTTTTGTAGTAAAGATATAAAATAACAAACCAGCACAATTTGCCCAGTGTGGGACAAATCAGAATAGGTCAAAAATGAAGATTAATTTGTCTAACCGTACTCAACACTGCAATAGCTCTTTGCACGATAAGGAATCAGCCCCCTATTTTGAGAACCACTATTGGTTCATTAAACCAATAGAGTTCTCCTTGCAATGTGATGATACGGTAAATACTCTATTTTGAGAACCACTATTGGTTCCTTGCAATGTGATGATACGGTAAATAACTTGTGTGAATGTTTTCTTGCCATTTTATCTTCACCTTCTGTTGTTCCTCCTTCAGAAAGAAGCGTCCAGAGAAGGCCATCAGTGTGCACGCACAGCTGACTGTGGCTCTGCTGTGCCTCCACCTCAGCTTCCTCTTGTGTTGTCTGTGGGTTTGGAGGGTAAAGGAGGACGGCTGGGTTTGCTTCTCCCTGGGCCTCTTTCTCCACTGGTCCCTGATGGCTACTTTGTGCTGGATGGCTCTGGAGGGATTTCACCTCTACCTTCTGCTGGTCCGCGTTTTTAACATATATGTTAGAAGATATCTGCTGAAACTCAGCGCAGTGGGATGGGGTGAGTTTTCATCAGTATAATTCCTCCCTCTGTGTGTGTGTGTTTGTGTGTGTTGACGGAGGATTAAGGGTCACTGTTCACTCCAACCTGACTATAGGTATTAATGAGAGTGTGACTCGTTGTTATCTCTATAGTATACTGTATGTGACCATGTGATTGACTGGGGAACTATCCAGGGTGTAACATCGCCCTCCCTTGGTGAATGCTGGGATTTGGTAGTGCCCTCCTATGGCCAAAACAGAGAGTACGGTGGAGAAGTATATATATATACATGAATGAACTATATATATAGTATATATACATATATGTGTGTGTGTGTGTGTATATACACATACATATCTGTGATCTGATGATGAGTTTCCTTCCTGTCTTTCTGCAGGTATTCCCACTCTGGTTGCAGGGGTCTGTGGGATTTTTGGTGTATATGGAAAAGACAGTCTGAAACTGACGGATATCAACAACCACACTTCACCAGCCGACATGTGAATAAACTCCTGTTAACGCTGCACTGATTCAACAGAGCTAGTTGAAGTGTTTTCTGACATGGAAACATTTAACTTTTATCTCACAGTTGCTGGTTGAGCGACGCTTTTCCTCACAAACTCGTGGTCAGCTTCATCACCACGGTGGCGTTTCCGGGCCTGGTGGTTCTGTGTAATGCCTGCATGCTGGGCCTGGTGGTGTTCAAGCTCCGGAGCTTAAGACACAACGAAAGCTGGAAACTAGTCAACACAGAGAAGAGGAAGAGGTTATGGAAAAACGCTGCCACGGTGCTGGGCCTCAGCTGCGTGCTGGGTTTGCCCTGGGCTCTGCTCAGCACCACCTACGTCTCTGTCACCGGCATCTACATCTTTACAGTATTCAACTCCCTGCAGGGTCAGTCAAGGGTCATCCTCAGTGTGTGTCACAGAAGCATCTGTTCTTTTGTGAAACACAAAACGATAATGACTAAATCTATGTTTTATTTTTCCTCAGGTGTCTTCATGTTCCTGTGGTCCCTCAGTCTGACCTGCAAGTCTCATTCTGACCATAACTCCTCGTCCAAAAACCCATCCACTCAGAAAATAATGACCACAAGTTTTAATAACTGATGTTTAAACATATCTGTCGTTCATATCTGCTAGTTTCTGAGAAAAACGATCAGTTAAAAAACATTTTTTTAGAAAATTAAATATCTGTATAACTGTAGTATTATAATACTGATTGTTTAATTTAACTAACCCTTGACTACACATTTGTTTAAGTTGTGGAATGTGTTTATAATTGTCTTATTTATATGATATTATTCACTATTTTGTCTCAAACGATCGAATTTTTGCAGGAATAAAATCGGAATTTAACAACAAAAAAAAGGAACGAGTATTGAACGTTTCCCCCAAAATATCCGTACAATTACCGCAACAAACACCAAGTCCTTAATAATTTTCAAATTTTCGATACATTTTTCAATAATTTTCGCCGGAGAATTGTCAAACGTAACTACTCATTCCAATGGACGATTTACTGTTTCTTTCTGTGTGATTTACCTCGTGGAGTATTAACAGTTCAAACACACGGTCTCACAATACTGCAATAAATCGAATTCTGAATTTCACTGTGTTGATTATGACAGCTGGAAGTGTTAAAACACTGTGACGTCTGTATACGTTACCCGGAAGTGAAAGCAAAGCGATCGCTCGGCCTTCTTTTTCTTCTTCTTCTTCTATGAACGCCAGACACAACAGGCAGCGGAGTCAGACTGAGGAGCATCATGGATCCGAACACCACGATCCTGCGAGTCAAGAGAAAACGGGGCACCGACCCCGCGGACGCACTGTTGTTGGCCTGCAAACGAATTCGACCGGAAACGTCCCAGACCTCCAGTGAACCGGTGCCGGAGCCCAATGAGGCTGAAGTGGAGAATTCCGTCTTTAAACTCGTGGCCACTGTAGCGACACAGGTACAAAAAAAAAAAACTAACGCCGCTGGTAGCATCCAGCTAACAGACTTCCGCGCTACTCAAATAAATTGTAATTTATATGTCTACATAACCCACCGTGGTCCGCAAAATGTGTTTTAAATAGAATTACTACAGTTTAGCTAAAAATGCCAGAAAATGACCGACCGTGTCAGTTGATGCGTTAGCGTATCATTGAGGCCAGTCAGCGCCATTAGTCAACGTTTGTTTGTGTTAGACGCCACTGTGACGTGTTCGTAGGCCGTTGACTTTAAGATGACTGAGTTTCACTGCCAAAGAAGTGAATACTGGTATAAAAAGATATTCGGTCTCTTTTTACAAGGACGAAAGTGTTAGCAAGTATACAACAATAACAACAAAGTTACAGACTAGGGAAGAGAGTGGTACAGTCACAGCGTACAGGTGTGTTTTTGTAGGTACTCTACAGCCAGACTACATTGTTCCGTCTAGAGGTCCATCTATTGTCAAACTGTAACAATTTTGTCATTGACAGAATCAGGGCTGTGAATGTCTCTCCAATCACAAAACGAGTCACGTCAAACTGTCACCAACTGAATCACTGATAAACCGATATGTCACGTTTAATACTAATAGGTGACGCTTTTGACATGCTTCATGCAGATGACTTTTTCAATGGTTTGAGACAGACACCAATGAACTATTTATAATAATATTACGGCTGTGATCTTGCATCCATACTGGAGAGATTCTCACGGTTGTTGTCTTTCCCAGGATGCACCTGTCCAGACGCAGGTCCGCCAGGCCTTGGCTCGACCCCGTGTGGCACATGCACTGCGCCCCAATGCTGCCAGTTCTCAGCGAATAACAAGCGACTTACGGAGCATGAAGTGGAGCAACCGAAGGGATGAACGTTACAGGATAGTGTCCAGTCACCGTACGGGCCTGTCAGTCACAGCTGAGCAGCAAAGCCTCCCAACAGACGCCTCTGAGAGCACAGGGAATTCTGGGAAAGATGAAAGCAAATCCTGGGGTCAAATTCAGGTGGTGGATCTCTTACATGAAGACTCTGAGCTGGACAAATTGTCTGGAAAGGTGAGTTTGACGTCACTCATCCAACACTGGCCAATATTTTACACAAGATCATTCATTTTCTTGTGTTTTAATTCATCAAACTTAAACTCAAACAGATGATCTCAGACCCAGAAGTCATTCTGTGTAACAACACAAAGATGCTCCGTGAGCGTCTGAGCCTGTCTGGAGAACGGCTGGGAGGAGAGCAGCAGGAGCTGGAGGAGGACTACGTCTATGATCTCTACTACCAGGAAACAGTCACACCAGGCTGGATCCAGGACATCCTGTCTGTCAGGGCCTACGCTGACGAGGGAGAACTGGTGTGTGTGGATGGATGATGGACAGAGCGATGAATGAATGCTTACCATCAGAGTGAGTTAGTGAAGATGTGGGAACTTCATCCAAATATTTTCCGTGGCTGAATGTTATTAGCATCCGTACTCTGGATGGATGAATTACTTTTTTTAGGGTTTGTGTAGAACAGAGTTAACCCTCAATGAATGGTCTGGGAGGGGGTCTCCACAGGTACTTCTCAGGGGTTGTGAAGTTCATGTACTTGGTTTCTTATGTTTGTAGTATTTTTAAAGTTAAAAAAGGTCAAAAAAGTTTAAAGTTTGGTATTTTGAAGTATTTTTAAAGTTAAAAAAAGGTCAAAAAAGTTTAAAGTTTGTAACGGTGACATGAGATTGAGAAAATAACTACACGTCTTATTTAAAACTACTCTGAATTCTGGTGTTAAAGCTGTGACGCTGTTCTTAAAAGCTGACTATTTACCAAACCTAACTTTGTCTTTGTGCTGCCATTTGCGTCTCAGGTGCCCGATGTTGTCGTTCATGAAGAGGAGGTGTACGAAGACGAGGACGACGAGAATGAAGAAGGCAACTGGAGAAACGACTACCCCGACGAAGAGAGCGACGACAGCGACAGAGAGGAGCGCTACGGTGGTACGTACTCCTGTCAGGCAGTATTCCTGTTCATAAGTATATGTTATGAAGTACACTGTACTCACTCAGTCTGTGGGGCCTGTTTAGTTGGACGTAACGTTGGAACAGAAGACAGATGCACAGACAGCTAACTAAAAGTTTTTACTGCCATGTGAAAAGTTATTATGAACGCCAACATCACAAGATGTCTGTTTAGTGAAGGATTAAAGCCGTGTTCTGACCTGAGTGGACTCTGTCCCTGATTGGACACAGTCGAGAGAAACATGGTGAAGGATTAAAGCTGTGTTCTGACCTGAGTGGACTCTGTCCCAGGTCACTCTCTCCCTCTCTGTCTACACTCAGGTCATTCAGAGGAAAGTTACTTCTCTTTCTCCAACAGTACGACCTGCAGTAAAAGACAGAACTCCAAAGATAGTGTTAAAAAGTGTCAGGTGTTTAGGAGTAAAGTCTGACCAGAACAATCCTCCATTTTTCAAATGTTATCCTGACACAAGGTGAAACATCGGTGCGTTTTACTGGGACCGCTGCAGTGTTGGATTAAACAGTGAAACTCCTGATAAATCTGTGTGCAGGCTACTGGGAGGAGGAGCATTCGTACAGCCGCAGGAACTGGGAGCTCTACAGGAGTGAGGTGATGGACGAGCTGGGAGGTGACGGCGGTGAAGACGACGGCGAGCGTGACCTCGAGGACGGAGACAAATATAATTCGGATTGATCCCTCTCCTGTCAGTGCCCTGTGAACCAATGACATGACTGTAGGTGAGAGTGGAGGAGAAAGACCGTGACCCCCTGACCCCACACACAAAACACAAACACAAAGGTCAATTAAGTCTTTGTGTTGTTCAACAGAAAAAATAAAACAAACCAAAAACCACAGCTGGTCTAGACTCGTTAGACGTACAGCCACGGTACAGAACAGTACCACGGAGTCACGGTCTGATCCTCCTCCTCCTCACCGCTGCAGGATGTCATAGGTGTCAATTCTTTCCTTTTTTTAAAAGAAGCTGTCAGTGAGAGACTGTGTTTGTTTCCAGTGAGTGTTTGTTCAAATGTCAGACAGTAGTGCCGTCTGCCTGGTGTGCTTCGCAGCGTTAAGAATCCTTGTGTCTGTGGCCGTGTGTGTGTGGTTGGCCTTTAGAGCGTCTGCATGGTGGTGTGTTGGTGTGTTGCCGTGTGGTAGTGACTTTTTTTTTTTTTTTAATTGCGTACTGAAAAGTGTGTGTTGTGGTGGATGTGAGAGTTTGGTTCTTTTTTTCTTTTCTCTCTGAATCTTCACGTCGTTTCTCTTCACTCTTGTCCACATGAACCTGTAAATATGTAGATGTGTATAAAAGGAGACACTTTCAAAAATAAAGAGAACTCATGTCCAAGTCTTTGTCCCAGCACCATGAAGACACAGTGGCTACAGTTTTTATTAATGGACCACAGAACCGAGTAGGAGGGGGGTAAAATCACAACAGTCAGAATGTCAGCCAATCAGCAGTTAGATAGGATTTAAACCGGTTTTTCCTCGTGTGCTCCTTTGCATTTTGTACACACTGTTTTCCATTTGTCATTACAAGGGTTAACAGTGAAGAGCAGTAAATGTTGACTGAAGGTGTCGAGCTGTCATGTTAGAAGTCAACGCTCCAAATATTTGCAGTGAAACAACTTTTACTCAACCCTCTGACCCTCTTGCAGGCCAGATTCAGAGGTAAAGTTAACGTAAAAACCAAACATACAAAATATCAAATGTTAAAATAAATAACTATAATTAGGATGGAAAACTCGTCAACAACACCGTTGACGCTTTGACACAACCGCTGTTCACACATTCATTAGAATAAACTCTGACCCAAAAGCATTATGGTTTGTTTGCATGTTATGGAACTGCTGGTGTCGATTGATCTTAAGGCATTTACCTGTTAACACAAACAGAAGGATTCTCTCTACAGGTCACACTGCATTTTGAACAATAATAAAGTTCTCCTTTTAATAATAATACAATAATAATAATAAAGTTCTCCTTTTAATAATAATAATAATATATATTTAATACTTGTTTAATAGTAACACCTGATCTGTGATATCAAGACAACTCCATTCTCCTAATGCTGAAGAATGACTGTCCTAATGGCTATATCCTCAGCCAATCAGAGTGCTTGTTACATTCCCTCACACCTGCCTGCCTCACTGATGGCCATTAGTTTCTTTCTTTTTTTCTGAAAACATCGAACAGTTGAAAACTGTAAACAACATGAGCTTTAGTGACAGGGTGGCGTCAACCAGGAGACTGTGACTCACGTCCTTCTACTTTACCTTCTGTGTCCTGATAATGTGAGGCAGAACGTTGTGTAGTTCACCTTAAAAACAACAGGTGGTGTTGGACGGCCAAGTCTGCAGCTCAGGACAACGCCAGGCTTCAGTGAGGCTTCACAGAGTTTGAGTCCATAAAAAAAAAAACACCAGTCAGAGATTCTATTCCATTTCCCGTTTGTAAACAGAAGCCCAGTTGTTGTTGCCCCAGGGTAAAAAAACTGCACTGAGGTTTATTCACTTTTGTCCAGCTCTGAGACCACACAGAGGCAACTGTACTGAGTGAAGTGGGTGAGGGATCCTGTCAGACAGAGAGAAGAACAGATGGAACCAAGGACATTAAAAAAAAATATACTCAATGTAAAGTTAAATGTTTGTCAGATGTTTAGTTTTCACGGTGCTGAGTGGAGAACGTACGCAGGAGCTTGGTGATGATGGGCGGACGTTTGGACTCCGGCAAATGGATGCCCAGGAAGTAGACGGGAACACCTGACAGGGCGATGGCAATGCCGATCAGAGAGTTGAGAGTGTCGCTGTAGAGAGGAACGGCCACCAGGAAGACGGCACACAGACAGAAGACCACCGGGTAGAGTAGGGTCAGCTGAGGTCACAGAGAGGACACAGAGGTCAGAGAGAGGTCACAGAGAGGTCACAGAGAGGACACAGAGGTCAGAGAGAGGGCAGAGAGAGGTCAGCTGAGAGGTCAGCTGAGGTCACAGAGAGGACACAGAGGTCAGAGAGAGGGCAGAGAGAGGTCAGCTGAGAGGTCAGCTGAGGTCACAGAGAGGACACAGAGGGCACAGAGGCCAGAGAGGTCACAGAGAGGATACAGAGATCACAGTGAGAGAACACAGAGGTCAGAGGTCAGGCTGATACCTTGAGTGGTCGGTTCCTGTCCGGTTCCTTCCAGCGGAGGTAGATCTGTCCTGCCACAGACAGGCCCATGAAGAACCAGTAGCTGAAGCTGTAGTAGTTGATGAGCTGGAAGACGTCCTTCACCGTCAGGTAGATCAGTGACATCACACACTGTGGAGCAGAGAGAGATGATGAAGATGATGATGATGATGATGATGATGACTGCTGTCGACACTGGTTCTTACGTTGAAGATGAGAGACGGGATGGGCGTGAACCTCTGGATGTGGATCATGGACAGAGCGTTTGGAAGATGACCCTCACGGGAGCCGACGAAAAACAGCCTGAGAAAAGAGGAGAAGGTGAAGGTGTGAACCGGTCTGACACTTGGACTAAGTACTGTTTTTATGTAGACACCAAACTGATAACAACAAACTACACCCTCCCTCCAGGTGTGTGTGTGTGTGTGTGTGTGTGTGTGTACCTGGAGGCAGTAATAATGGATGAGTTGAGGCCTCCGTAGCAGGACAGGGCCACAGCTAGAGGGATGATCCAACTCATCACTCCTAGAGTGTGATCAGCAAACGTCTGCGTAAGATACAAGAACAGGATTAGAGTCTCTCTCGCTCACACACACACACACACACACACACACACATACTGTACACACACACACACACACACACACAGGTAGACCATCAGACTCCTGAACTCCGTCATCAGTCGTTACACTTGACTGGTTGATTCAGTAACTACTGTTGAATGACAGTAGTGAGGCGCGCAGTCGGAGTAACTGATGGGTTCAAGGTCTACCCACCACTGCCACTGCGTCACTGGCCAGTATGGCGCTCATATCCAAGACGGCGTAGTAGGCCACGTTGGTGAGGATGTAGATGACGGTGACGATGGGCATAGAGATGGCGATCGCCAGCGGCAGGTTCCTGGGACAGTCACACACTGGGGTATTAGCAGGGACATTACCTGGGGCATTAACAGGCTGACTACAGGGAAGGAAAAGAGTGAGGAGGCGCAGGAGGTGGAAGAGGAGGAGGAAGAAGAACTACCTCTGTGGGTCCTTGATCTCCTCAGTGACAAAGTTCAGAGTGTCCCAGCCGGAGTAGGAGAAGAGAGCAGAGTAGAGCGCCAGGGCGATGTCGCCAGGATCTGTGGACGAGCCCTGGAAGGAGGAGTCAAAGTTGGACGTGTTCCCTGAGACACGAAGAACAACAACAGAAACAACTGTTACTATTTCGTCATAAATTTAGACGTGTTGAAATCAGATCACATTTTTAACCAAACTTGAATGGAAACCAGTTTAAATGATCAAAGCTCATCAACAGGTTCTGTTCTAGAACCATCTAAGTTCCTTTATTTTCTTGAAAGAACATTTACAGGAAGTGGATTTCAGTCCTTAATCCAGACTTTGAAGCAGGTCCTGACCTGGAGTCACCAAAGCTTCAGTTGGTTTTTAACAAAAACTCTTTGTCTACTTTTCAAAAAATGTGTTCTTAACTGAACATAGAAAACTGTGGCTCTCGGCCCAGTTGAGTCTCAGACCCTGCTGTAACCAGGTCCAATCACAACAAGCGGCAGATTTGACAAGTCATTCAAAAAGTGTGACATCACACACCCTGGCACAGCTTGACCACCCCAGTGGTGATGATGACGATGAGGGCTGCCACCTTGGCGTAGGTGAAAATGTCCTGCACCCGAGTTCCCCACTTCACATAGGCAGAGTTGATGAAAGTCAGGAGACCTGGAGGAGAGACACGGGGGACAGAACAAGTCCTTAGCACTGACTCGTTAGTACCAAGACTTAGTACTGAGTTGTTAAAACTGAGTTGTTAGTACTGAGTTGCTAATATTGAGTCGTTGGCACCGAGTCGCTAGTACCAAGACGTTAGTACCAAGACGTTAGTACCAAGACGTTAGTACTGAGTGATTAGTACTGGTGTGTTTGCTGTTTTAACTACAGATGTCCAATAATATCTGCCAACTGATATTAGCATAATTTAGAAATATTGGTAAAAATTGCCAATAATGAAAACCCAATAATGCAATCCTGGGTTTCGCCCACATGATGTGACCTAAAAATAGTTTTAAATTAAACCCAATTGGCAGCAAACATCGGTATCGTTTGATATTGAAAATTAAGTGTTTGGACCAGGGGGGTCAGCAACGTGGTGCCCAGGGTCACCTGGTAGCCCCTGTGGACTACCTAAGGTGCCCGTGGGGTACGTTCTAAAAATACAAAAAAACACAACTAGTCAACAAGAGGGTCAAAATGGTACTATTACTACAGGAAGTCTATATAAAACAAGTAGCTCTTCGTATTACGTTTCGGTAAAAAGTTAATATCGGACATTCCTTGTTTTGAGATTTACACTCGTATTTGAAGAGTGACCAAAGGAGGCGATGTCAGTAGAAGACCCTGAGTGGACCTCATGGACTCACACACACACGCCGCAGCGATGAGCCTGGACGCTACATACGGCGGTTCACATGTCGGGAACAGCGGCTGCACCAGGTAGTTGGCGAAGGTGATGGCGATGACGGCCTGGCTGGTGGGCTCGATGATCAACAACGACGTCCACAGGCGGATGAACGCCAGGAAGCCGCCAAAAGACTCCAGGATGTAGGCGTAGGACGCCCCCGACTTGGTGATGGTGGTGCCCAGTTCAGCGTAGCACAGCGCCCCAACCACGGAGAACAAGCCTCCAATCACCCAGATGACCAGTGACAGTCCGTAAGACGCGCTGTAGATCAGAACCCCCTTGGGCGAGACGAAGATCCCGGAGCCAATCATGTTTCCGACGATCAGGCTGACTCCGTTCAGAAGGGAAATTTCCTTTTTCAACTGCATGGTCTCCTTCGGCAGCTCCGAAGTTTGGGAGGATCGACCTCCGACCACATTGGTCCTTGTGGATTCTTCCAGGTCAGCCATGGTTCCAGAACCTCCAGAACCACCTAACACAGAGAAAACAAACAACGGGAGGGGGGGGGGGGTTTACTGAGCAAACGCCACCAGAGTCCTTCGGTTGACTCA